TCTCGTTAGTCCGTCTATTGTTCGTTCTTTGTCGTCTTCTTCTCTCTCTCTCTCTCTCTCTCTCTCTCTCTCTCTCTTTTTCTTTCTCTCACTCAATATCTCTCAATATCTCACTCTCTTTCTCTCTCATTTCTTTTTTTAATTCCCGTATGTACTTTTCTTCCTTTTCTCTTCCTTCTTTGACTTCACCACTATCTCCCTTCCTCTTTTACCACTTGTTTTTATGTTTTTTTTCTTTTCAATAATGCTTCTTTCTTCTTTTTTTTTTTCTTTACATAGAGATATACGATTAATCTTCATCACCTAATATTGCATGCGCGTGAACACATTTTTCCTTTTTTTTTCCCCTTTTAACGATGGAAAAGAGCTTGCGTCTCTTTTCGCGGTCCACGGGACCACGAGTGTCGTGTGTAGAACTGCCCGGACATAATTTTCTCCAACCTCATTGCTCTCGTATGTGCGTACACGTATATGCGCGAGAATTTATACGTGTACACGCATAACATCGATTTTTATACGCTTTTTCATCGGCATTGATTTTTCCCTTTATCTTTTATTCTTCTTTCTTTCTTTTATAATACGCACAATACTGGCCATAAATTTTTATGTTAATTAATTTAAATTGTTATTTAATATTATTTTATCGTTGCAACGAGCGATATGTACCTTGTAAGGTAAGGTATCATTAAGGCTGATATGAGAAATAAATATTGTATATTTGAATGTACTTTTTTTAATGTACTAATCTTATTTACTAAATTTTGTCTTGTGAAGTTTCCTAATATTTTTTCAAAGCATAAATTTAGCATGAAGAATGAAAATTTTACAATCATCGTTTCTCCAAAAATGTGTATAACATTTTTATAAAATTATTTCGCACATAGATCTGACATTTATGGCCAGTAGTGTACACATTCAACGCCAAAAACGGTGCCTCTTCAACGGTCGCTTTTTACATTTCTATTTCCTTTTCGATTCTCGTCTCGCTCTCTAAGGATCTACTTCAAAGTTCGTTTCAATCTCGAACGGAGCTATTTTCGAGAAAATTATTTCACGGAATAAAACGGGGGATCCTATCGAGATTTATCTGCAGGAATTTTCGTTTTGTTCATCGAACAAAAATGGTAAATTTTTCAGGCGACACGAGAATCGAGAAAAAGAAAAGTGTCGGTGATTCGTTTGCAATTTGACCCCTTCGTCGATTACGGTTTTTTTTTTTTTTTTTTTAAGTATTACAATAATTGGTGACTTCTCATGAGATACTTCAGTAGTTTCGCTCTGTCCCGAGGTCGAGAACCGAAGTCGATACCGCCATTTTGCTCGTTTACACGCCTATCGTGTATTCGAATATAGTGTTTATCAATTTCTTTCTTTTTTTGCAAATTCATACATATATATATTTTTTTTAATGGATCGATTAATCATAATTGCAATATGGATTGAAACGAGTTAAATAATTTTGTAGATTTTATGGGGAGAAAAAAATGTGTTTCTGTCAGATCGCCATGGGAATCCAATACTTTTGTATTTGGTAAGAAGATTGTACTTTATCGAGGTGTCGAAGGCCTTTCTGGTGATCGTATTTTATAAAGAGAAATTAGCGTAGCGCGTAAGTGTCTACATTGAAAGATAATTTCAATAAAAATACTATTTCTTTTTTTTTTTCTTTTACGTTATTTCATTTTGTCGCTTTCGAGAAAAATATTAAAGTTGTAAAAAAGTACGCTGAGTCTCTTTCGATTGCAGGAAAGCACTAATCTCTCAAACTCTCTCCTCTTTGTCAAGTCTCTTCACTTTCGTATATGATAATTAGAGATGGATCGAAATCTGATTTTTGGAAACTTGTATTTTGAAATTTTCTAGAGATTCGAAATTCTCGAAATCTAATTTATTTCTTTTTCTCTAAAAAAACGTCTAGTTTTATCAAGAATGAAAATTAATAAATTAATAAGTAATAACAATAATCGTTTTCCTAATCAAAATGATTTCATCTTTTTTAATTAAGACAATCTAATTAAAAGTCTAAACATAATTTCATTTGGAGTTTGAGAATTTCGAATCACAAAAATAACAAAAAATTCAAAGATCGAGGATTGGATACTTTTTCGAGTTTCGAACGATTTCGATATTTCTAACGCCACATCCCTAATAACAATCCATATACGAAAGTCTATCTTAAATTAACAATGTCATGGCTATCGAGTAAAAAATCCGAAGCATACGATGCTGAGTTGGAAAAATCGATAGAAATCTATTTGGTACGTACAAGTACCGTGCTTAGAAAATAATTTTCTTTTATTATTTTACTTTTTTCCTTTACCAAACTTTTTTTATTTTTTCTATCCTTTTTTTATTTTTCTTTTTTTTTTTTTTCGTAGAAAAAAGTTCTCAGGAACACTGCAGATGACGTACCCGATGATACGCCTAATTAATAGTAATACGTCTAACGATACACCTAACACACCATTAGGCATATTTAAATCTAAACAAGTTATCCGTAAATTCTAACGTTCATTCCCAAAAGAATTCCTCAAGGCGATCTGAGGTGAAACTTCGATCGTTTCGACGGTTGTATCCGAGTAGAAACGGGGAAACGAAGCCGGTTGTCGACTCTCGGTTCGTCGTCAAGGCAGATCTCGTCCTATTTTTATTTTTATTTTTTTTCTTTTTTTTTTCGTCAGAAAACTGAAGCCTTATCTATCTGAATAATAATAAAGTAGCGTTTATATCAGACATCGTGCGAGCCATTCGAAACACGGCGAGACGCGGCAGCAGAGATCCGAGCATCGCGAACGAACACCGATCGATTTCCACTTTTATCAATTTTTCTTCTGTTCATGCGACTCGTATCGTATCCCTCTCCTGTGACTTCGATTCGTTACCAATCACTAAAACGTGAATACCTGATCTGTTTTCGCGTCGAGAGAGGCACTGTGTCGCTCTCTTGTTCAATGCAAAAACAGTCCGAAAGCTTCGATCAGTGTTTTTCTTCCTCTTCGACAGGGGAAAAAAAAAGAGGAGGGATCGAGGAAACGATAGAATCGATGAACGCGAAGAGACGAACAGAATCTTTTCTTTTTCCCTCTTTCTCTCTCTTTGTATCTTTCCCTCTTACTCATTTCCTGTTCGTCGTGATTAGAAAAAAATCGAAACGGGTCGATCGCAATGCTCGAAACGATTCTTTCCTTCTTGTTCCTTTTTTTCTCCATCTATAATTCTCACGGAGGCCTCGTCGAAAAGCGTAACGCGTGTCCCAGGGCGATTTCGTACGGCCCGTCCAACTCGTGTTTATGCGTGGTGTAATGTTTAATTACTTTTTAATCAAGTATATAGAGCATATCATTTTTAGTCGTAATAATTATATTGATATTGAACTACCTAACCTAATATTTACAGAGTTTCTTTTTCACCATTATCATCATCGTCTTCTTATTTTCTTCTTCGTTTTCTTCTTCTTCTTCTTCTTTTTTCCTTTACGCTCTTGGCACTACTTTTCCTCCTGCGCTCTCTCTCTCTCTCTCTCTCTCTCCCTCTCTCTCCCTCTCCTATTCATCATTCGCTTCCATCTTGTTCTATCATTTATACACTACGGAATCGCGCCATCTGTCGTTCAGAGAATCCCTCTCTTCTTTCCACCTTTGCCCTCAATGATATTCTATTCCCCTCATTTTTCGTAAAGACCATCTTCCGCATTCTTTTCCAATTCTCCCTCACCTGAGATCCGTTTCACATGGATCTCTCTCTTTATTCTTGCATTCATACACGCACACACGCAATAACGACGCATCATTCACGCGCGAATACATTCATTTTATTCTATATCGTGTGGCGGATTCATCCGCTTCCCCCACGTTTCCGCTCCCATCGCGCGAATCACTCTCTCTTCTCTCTCTCTCTCTCTCTCTCTCTCTCATTCTCTCGCGAATTATCGCCAATAAATAATTTACTAAGTCTTTTTCGCAGCGAAACTTCCAAAAACGATATACATATACATGTACATATGCATATACATATATACTCGATGATCAGAAATATCGTCCCGTTGATCGGTGTGGTGTTGCGTGTTGGGTCGGCAGCAATGGCGCACTCTGGCGGCTTTTCTAGTCACTACAAATTGCGTATTCATCAGCTACATTCGTTGGCCTTTTTCCTGCATCACCTCTTCTCTCTTAATATCACCCAATTCTTCCCAACAACTCGACGCTAGATGCTTTATGCCTCGGAGGACACACGTCAGTCTTTCTAATACGAACTAGTTCGTGAGTGGTGGCGCCTTCGATAATTTATTTTCTTATTCGTCTCGCTTAAATAGGCCTCTCTTATCAATCTTCTTCTACATTTCTCTTCTTATTATTCATCTCTCCCATCGTCCACCTCATTCTCAAGGATTCTCCTCTCAGCTACATTTAATAGAACTAACCCTGCCTCGTCTACGTTACTTTGGAATCGTCTGAGATCTAAGCTAGAGACTGGCCATGTACACAGATTGCCACATTACATTAGGTATCGAGCACCTGAAGCACCGAAGGTTACCGACCCACGAACGCAGCCTCGTGTCTTCCTCGTCTTTCTTCTTCTCGTGTGTCCCGTTTCTCGCTCAGCTTGCGGGTGAGAGGGCGCTTCACTCCCGAAAAAGAAAACCAGCTGGAGGGCCATCCAGCGGGCCTCCAAATGGAGGATCCAACAGCTACACCAGCGTGGTACAAGGAGCGTGGTACGGCGGAGAAGGAGGAGGAGAATCATCCCTTCGAATTCGGCCCTCTCCTCTCCTCTCGGCCGGTGTTGTTTGTCGGCTGCGATTCAAAAGCCACGCGATAACGAGGCGGTATCATCGTCAGCTGGCCGAACCAACGTTTCTCCTGCGAGTCAGTCTTGAGGGATCCTCGACGGGTCGAGGATTCTCGAGGAGGGCAGAACAAGCACGACGACTTCTGTCCCAGTGTTGGATACAACAGTGTCGTCCTTGTGGCGGGTGTCGTCGACCCGTTCCTCTGTCTTTTCTCGTTGCTTGACTGGGACACGATGCCGCCGCTTCCACGAGATCCTCCGCCGTCCATCGACCTCGAGGAACTCGCTGCTCCTCGAGCTCGTTGCGGCTTCGAGTGCTCTCCTTCTCGGCCGTGCCTCGGATCAGACGTTCGGTGGCTGATGTTGAGACGACGTTTGCTGCTGATGTTCTTGCTGGTGATGATGATGATGATGATGATGATGATGATGATGATGATGCTGTTGCTGCTGCTGCTGCTGACTCTCGTCAGCCTCGCACGGGACCACTGTTAGGCTGGACAGGTTGCTCAGGTTGCTACTGGACTCGGAATAACTGGACAAGGTGGGTCTTCTGGGCGGAACCACCACTGCTGGCGTCGAACTGCTAGGATTGGAGGACTTTCGGAATACCTTCAACAGGGAGCTGCCCGCACTGTGGCACCGGACCAGCCGTTCAGGCGCGTCCAGCAATGCGGACTGGCTTCGGTAAGGCGGCGGGCTCTCGCTATCGAATACAGTCCGGTTTGGGGGCGGTCGAACGCATTTCTGGTATATCTCGCTCTCCTGAAAGGGAAATGTTTAGTTTTAGTCTAGTTTTCGAGTGATGGTAAAAAGTAGATACCATTCTTCTATTGGTTTTTCGAAGTTTGACGAATTTTTATAAGTAATTCAAGCTGGAATGATGGATTGCTCTCTGCGTATATGAAATGTGTATTATATTTTCATGATTGTATTGAAATGGTTACTTGTATCGACAAAGATTCAACAGAACTAAACAATATACGCAAAGATACGAATATTTGAGTATACGAAAATTTGGAATCTTAATTATCTTTTTTAAATAGCAATCAAATAACTATTTTAAATCGAAAACAAGAAATTAAAAAATACCAAGTCAAACTACTTATATATAATCCACTCTACTCTCATAAAACGTTTGAAGACAGAAAATCTTTGAAGAACCTTTGAAAATCCTCAAATACTCTGTTGAAAAAGAAGAAGCAAAATGAAAACAAAATTCATATTTAGATTCGCACGATACTGGGAGCAGAGTATCGCAAACAACTCTTGAACATGCGGCGTTACCAGAAGTGAGTTTAGCTATAAACGAGCACCGAGCTGAAATTTCGGTTATTTCGGTTCGCCAAAAGAATCGAAAATCGATTTTACCAATCAATCGAACGAAATATCCACGCACAATCGAATCAGAGAACGACGACACGGAAGATGGAAGATAAAAAAGAAAGAAGATTGAAAAATTCGAAATGGAACGAAAGGGTGAAATATTCTTTTTCTCGCAGGAAGCGAGAATTGGGGGATGGGGGAGGTCGATAGGATGTCTCGTAACGTGGGTATACACGCGTAAGGGCGTAGGATTACTGAAATTCTAACCCATGATCCTCGAGCAACGCCGAAGAAGCGCGTGTTTCGGCTCGATGCCGACATCCAGAAGCCTCGACGAGGATAGAACTCGATCTAAGGCGACGCGATCTTGGGCGAAAATGGCACGAGGTTGGCGGTCACTCGATCGTCTGCCAGACTGTCGGAAGTGGGGGTATATTTCCGGTGCTTGTCGAGATTTTGAATAGACTATGTGAAATTGCAAATTTGAGAAAAGAAGAATTTGATTTTAAAATTTTAATAAATTATGGTACTGGAATTTTTGAAACTCAATCAATCAATAATCGACCAATAGTAACAATAATTATTCTTTTGACTCGCAAAGAATTTAGTATGTTCAACTCTTATATCTTATTCGTGCAAGTTATTCTTTATCTATTGCTAGAAAAACGAAAATAGCAAAGTTTCGAGATTCGAGAAAAAAAGTTGAAGTTGTATTAGATTGAATTGTAAATAATGACATTTTCTGCGAGGAATACTCTTTCTGGGAAAAATCATTTTTAAAGAAAAAATATAAACGTATATTTCTGTGGAAATATTTTCTGAAAATAGATTTAATTACCGTAGAAGAATGCTAAAATAGATTCTAAGTCCTTTGCACAATACCGTAGATAAAAAGAGTTTTACACAGGAGTGAAACGGAATTTGTAAAAAGTAAATGCAATTACGTCCAATGTAAAAGGTGCTTCAAATTATGCATCATGAATTATGTAGTACGAGGGTCTAAAATTAGAAGACACGAGACTAATTAGCCAAAATTAGCCGAGTATAATCTAGGATAATGAGGCAGGGAGAACAATAGAAACCCTAGGTTAAGATCGAAAGGTAGAGGAGATAAAAATGGAAAAAATAAATATTATCGTACGTGTCGAAATATTATCGACACGACTCCAAGTTTATAAATATAAGATTACAAATTAGGAATATGTATAGGAATAAAAAAGAATTTATAACAAGGAATTGCAATTATGCTTAACGTTAAAAGACGCTTTATATGTATTATACGGGCAATCAATTATAGGGTAAAATGTTCTAAAATTAAAAGACGAGAGGCTAATTAACCAAAATTAGCCGCGTGTAATCCAGGATAACGAGGCGCAGAGGAGCAATGGAAACAGTGGATAATGTTACGGTATCTGAAATAACTGCGATAATCCTACGATAGTTGACGTGTAAAAAGTATTTTTATAACCGACATTCATGCATTTTCGCCTATTATAATGCAAATTGGACATTTCCCTCTATCAAATTGCGAAAGTATAATCTACATGATACACTTTGCTCGAAAAAAAAAAAAAGAAAGAAAGAAACTCAACCAGCAAATATCAAAATTATACCATTGAAAATAAGGATCTTAAATTGGGAAAAATTTCGATTTCGTGAAAGTAAATGGAATTATTAAAATTTACAACAATCAAAGCAAACAAAATTATAGTATTTTAATATAATTTGTTAAATAATAATACTATGTTTCTGATTTAAGAATAATTAAAAAAAAAAAATAAGAAGTAGAGAGTCTTTATAATAATCAAATTTAATAACTTTTAAAATATTTTTAAAAATCATATTCTAAACACGATTATTACTTCAAAATATATCTTTTTTAAAAAAAGGAAGCAATTATGCTTTATTAAACACAAATATAAATTAATATATTTATCTGATTATCTAAATTTATTACAATTTCTTCGAATAATTACCACAACATTTTCTTAATTAATTCTAAATTGCGAGAAAAATGTTATTCTACCTCTAAGTTGCATAAAACATCACTTAATATTTTAAAATTTTCTATATATATATATACATCTGCGCTTAACAAATAATTCTTAAACATCACCTTTTCTAATTATTTGCACATCTTAACAACATCACCCACGATATCACCTTAAAATGAATCCTCAAAGGGCCAAGATGCACGCACTCCTCACTGATTAACACGAGACTCAATGCCAATTCTACACCTGCGAATCGTTTCACGCACGAAACAACCAGAAGGACGAAAAAGACCAGAAAGAGAGAAAGAGAGAGAAAGAGCGAACTTGATGAAGAACGAGGGAATGCGATTTTATCTGGAGGACACGGACCGTGGAAAATTTATCCGTTTTTACACGCGTTATTACCCAGCCGGTACTCGAAAATGCGCTTATTAGCGACCGGCTAATCGCCACGAGCCGCGGGTTCGATAAATGAAAAGCGGCGCCGATTGGGAAACGTCTGGATCCAGCCGGTCGCGGCTAATCGGCTGAAATTCCACCCCCTTCCCACGTTTAATTCTGTTAATAATGCCGATATTAAATGCTACCAGACGTTCCAACATTAGCATTACGGTATTACGTTCGGAAGATTTGCGATTTCGATAAGTGGAAAATCTATGGTTGTATGAATTCTCCAAGGATTTGGAGCCTCCAGGATGAAAACGGGTATTCGATTCATTCCAGTATTTCAATAGTTTAATAAGCGATAACCATCCTCTTCCTTCCTCGAACGTCTTCAATTTAAAATCTTCTGTACGTTCGTTCTAGAAAAAACTGTTTAAAAAATCACACAAGGAATGAAAAACTTCAATATATACACATTTCCCCTCAAACACATTCTCTCCTCTTTAAATCTCTTTAATCTAAAACCAATATTCATTCAATATTTATCAGGTACCATAAAAAAAAAAAAGAAAAAAAAGAAAAGGCAAAGAAATCGCAGCAAACAATCGAAGTTCGTTCCACTTTAAACATCGTTCAGTTCCTCCGCAAACCGCTCTTCCAACAGTCTCGCAAACGCAAACAGAACGTAGCGCAAACTCGCCAAGCAACCGAGTTTAGTCTGGCCAGCAACCACTTGCACCCCAAGAGGAATATAACAAAGGATAACCCGTTAAATATTCGAAGAGAGGAAGCAAGAAAGAGAGAGCTCACCTGCTCAGGGTCGCGCAGGTGAAGGGCGGTATGCGCTCCGTAAGGACGTTCCTCGCCATCCGGAAGCTGGAGCCGTGGGGGCAGGTCGAGAGCGAGGTCCTGGCGGACACTCCCGGCGCGGATCGCCCGATCCCTTGCAGCGGCGACCATCACTTCCTGTATACTATCGGTGGCTCCTTCACCGCCGTTACCAACCCCACCGCCTACACCACCACCTCCGCTTGGATCATCCTCGAGTCCACCGCTGAGGCCGTTGCGCTCCATTCCTGGGCTCACCGACAGCATCTGTGGACCAGAAAGAGATTTATTAGATAAATAAATATTACTTTTTTGATTTTTGAATTTTTTTTTTAAATTTAGAAAATAGAAGATAGAAAGCATTTTATTGTAATTATTAATGATGAAAATAAATATCTTTTATAATTGATTAAATGGTGTTATTATTTCTTAATCACCTCCTCAATCGTTTGTAAATATTTTATTGGTAAAATGAGAAATCGATTTATGCGTTTCATTCTTCGATTTTATTAAATATTTCATTTTATCATCCGAGTTAAAATGATTTGTCACAAAGTGCTAAAAATAATAATAAAATATAAAGTCAATTCAAATCTGATCGTTGTGAGCATTGTCATCGAATCAATTTAAATTTCACTAAAATGTTACAAAATAATTTAATAGCTAGGAATATAAAATTAATTATTATATCTGACATGAACAAATCTAAAAACATTGTAAATTAATAATAATACGACAAATTATAAAATTACCAACCCCAACTCATAAAGCTAACTCTTCCCACTTTAACATCCCCTAAACATCGCCCCTAAAATCCAACAACACACCATCCCCAAAAGTCTCCATGTCACATTAGACACAGGAAAACCTCTCTCGTGTCCACATCCCCTGCTCAACAAATTCAATTTCCCCGTCAATTAATAATTGACCAACCACCTGCAGCACCCTGCATCAAACTCGTTGCGCGGGCAGAAATAACCAGAGGGACAAGTTTAACAAGATTCGACGAGGGATTGGACCGTTTCGACGTATACTAAATATCGTTCCAAGCGTTTTCACGACGAGGAACAGTTTCGCCAAGATCTCGAGTCCGTTTTAAAACCCCATACAACGAAGGCATTAAAGTCGTGCAGAAGTCTTTCGGCTTCGGTTTACGATGGTGGCGATCGTTTCTATGGAATAAGAATGCAATCCGGATTCGAGACGTGTATCGGATGATCCGGAACGTTCGTCGCGCATAAAATTTTCATGGAACCGGTTCGATTTATTGGCGGGATTGAAAATTTCGAGTCGTCTCGCTATAAAATGGACACTGCGAACGATCGAGGAGGGATATGGAGAGAGAGATGGGTTGCGTTCTATTATCGGGTGAAGCGAGGAAGTTTTGATCCGAGATTGAGTTGAATTTTCATCGAGAGGAGGAATTTATGGAATTTCGATTTTTCAGAGGATGCGATCTTTATTCTATAAATATATTAACGTTATTTGAGAATTTTTCATAATGATATTAGAAGCGTCAAGGTGTTGGAGATCTACAGAAAATTCAAGAGAGACGAGAAAAATTTATCGTCCATAGATTTTTTTAAAATTTAACGCGTTTGAGAGATAAGGACGATTTTAAAATTTGAAAATATTGCGTTTCGATATTCAACCCTTAGGATTCTGAAAATTTTTCTGTATAATAATAATTTAAGGTAAGAGGTTTTATTATTGAAACAATTGAAACAACGTTTAAACAATTTAACGTGGCCTCTAGATTGTATCACTTGATCCTGATCGATTGAGACTAATTTACCGTTCTAAATGAGACTGAATGTTTAAGTCCTTAGTTTAAGACAGTAATAAACTCAGAACTGAGATTGAATTTGACCTTTGACTTTTGAACTTTGATTGATTGGAAAATCTTGCCAAACTGTTGAAAGATGTTCGCAATTTGTTCATATTTTGTTATTTTGATAATTAATTAACATACAATAATATATTTCAAGTAAAACAAACTTTACATCTCATATCGTTCACGTACACACACAATTAATCACGAAACTATTACCCAACATATTCATTTTTTAAATAATCTACTTTTAATAAATATTTCCTACCTTATTATTATCCCCTATTCCCTACATTCCAATGGTTTAAAAATAAAATACACAATATAAAATGAACGATCGAACAACAAGAAACAAAGATGATCGAACACATTTGTGAACCAATAATAATTATTCTCCCTATTCTGATCGAATAAACTTTTAGCCAAACACAAAAGATTAATTATCAAATACAACAATGATTAACAATAACTCAATAAAATTCGCAAAATAATACAATAACGCAAGCATAAAAATTTCATTGACGTGTAACGCCATTCCAATTAAAACCCGCGCCGTAACCCCTCATTACAATCCAGACATTCTCTTTTCTCCTTCTTCGTGTCCAACATTAATTCACGTATTCCCGGTTTAATCGTGCGTTTCCAACGTTTCGTTTTTTAATAGCGCCCAGTATTAATTCTCCATGCGGCCAGGTTTTCGTTATTAATTTAATCGACTTCGAACGCCAGTCGCTAAAGCAACGAGCGCGCGATAGTAGGAGGAGGAAGAGAGAGAGAAAGAGAGAAGAGAGAGAGAGAGAGAGAGAGAGAGCAAAAAGCTTCGTGTTTTCTCTTTTACTGAAACCACGATTAATCCTTTTCCACGTCGACCATGTCGAATTCGACGGGCTCGTTATCGATGTTCGATTTCACGTGGCATCGGTGGGTAATTTCGCCGGAAAAATCGCTGGTGAACAATACCGCCATATTTCCACGTAGAATGGGTTGGAATGATCGACGTGATCGAGAATTTCGCGTTAAGAAAAATTGCGATATCGTAGGAAAATTTTTTTTTTTTTTTGCATCGATCTTGATGCAGTTATTATTCACCTTCCAACATTCTCTTCGTTTTGTTTTTCTTTGTGCTCGTAAATCGTTTGACAGTATTCCGATTTATTTTATAATAATTAGGCAGAAGGTTTAATTTAGCATGACGTAATTATATATTTAAGCATGTACATTATTTAAAATAATTTGATAAAGTTTAGTTTTTGTGTTTAGCCTCCTTTTTATTGATACGAAAATTATTCGTTTTTTTTTATTTTACGAGCAAGAAGTATTTAATACGAAATGGAAAAAAACAAATAGCTACAAATTAAACTATTACGATAATACTACGATAATTTTTTTATCATAAACGTATTATAATCTAGAAATACAATATAATTATTGTATATGAAAAAATTGTTTCGACGAAAATTTTACATATTATCTAACATAATGTAGTAGTTATTAATAATTAGTATCAGTAATATAATACTATTAATTTTATTAAAAATTATTATCTAATCTATTTATCGAGAAATTATATTATACGTTCGAAGTAGAATTTTAAACTTCTTTTTTAACAAAATATTTGCACGCGATAGTTGTAATTTGAGCGTTCCTTTAATCGTTGTCATATACCTTCAACAGATATTTTATTTCATGGACGACAGCAAACAACTGAACCAGAATTTCGATCGAATGCGCACGCCGTTCAAATTAACTTAAAAATCGCTGTCGGGGATGGAAATTATACAATGAATTCACGATTTCCAACTCGCTTCGTGGAATAATTGAAATTGGGCCGATACCAAAAATTATTTTTAATTTCAATCTCGTGTTATTATATATATATTATATATAATATATTATATTATATATAAATCGCAGCTCGTGAAAGTTATGTTTAGAGCGAAATTGTATTCTAAAAGTTGTCCCCGAGCAAATAAACACCCGTCTAGCAGACCATATCGTACCTTGAACTTCAGCCCACTTTGTGTGCCAAAGTTTTTCAAAGTCGAGCCAAATGTCCTGCGTCATCGCGCGACTAGACGATCGAATCGCAAAAATTTTATTTCATCGTCATATAGTCGTGTATCTAATTCCTATGAACTATTTTCTGCTCGAGACTATTACTAGACTCGAGTCTCGAAGTCTTTGATACAATCCTTGTGAAATTGAAAATCTCTCGGTATATATTTTATGCTTTTAAATAACTCTGTATTCCTCAAACAGAGCTAATTTCAAAAGATATTTATCGTAGAAATATCGTAAATTTATTGAATATTTATTATTATACAAAATAAGTGATTTCTTATCAAATCTGATATTATTAATCACGTTATTAATTACCAAAATTTGAAAATACATCGAGAAATCATATTATATGAATGCAATTTTATGTTCTCCATTTCAAGCGGATTTCACGAGAAAAATCTGAAAATACAAGCAACTATCATCAAATTATAACAAAAATATGCACACCGTAAAATCCCAATTCTCGCGAAAACATTCCAAAAGGAATTATTTCTTCTTTCTATCTACAACTATTCTATCCACCAAATCATGCGAAAAATCAAACTTCAACTCGCAGAAAAAATATTAAAACTCATTATTCGCCAAATTTTTACACCGATCGCCATTATTAATTCGATGTTATTAATCACGAAATCGAGGAATCTTAACTTACATGGGAAAAGATCGAATTTTCCACCGCCCTAAATAGGCGCCACGATTAAATCCATCGTCACATTTGTCCTTATTGCCAATTCAACGACACCGTAGACCGCTGACTAGAGGAATCTATACGATAATAACGCACAAGGCCAGACACGAGAACGCTAGCCGTCGCCACCACGTCTCGACCACGGCGAACGAGTCGTCATCGGTGTGCCGTTTCCTCTCCCTTGGTCCTGTCCTGCGTTTTGCCGTGTATAATACGGTATCGCGACATTATTCCAGCTCGTGACGAGAGGGGCAATTGCCCGTGACCAGGCCAACGTATAAATTCCTCGTGTCCGTCATTTCGTGTCCGACCTCTCTATCTCTCTTTCCCTCCCTCTCCCCTCGAGTCCACGCTACTTACGTGATCTATTTGCCGCTAAACGACAGGAAACGTTTCCAAGCACCGAATATCGCGCTCGCCCTTGCATGCACGCGCTCGTCCTGTTCTACTGCTAGGATAAACGGCCCAATTATCGTGCCCCCGCTCCGACTTGGAATTAATATTTTAGGAAATTAAGAGAGAGAGAGAGAGAGGAGGAGAAGAGATGTAACGTGATCGAATTGAAAAGTTTGTTTACAGATCGTGGTGATGAATAATATGAGTGTTCTTGGGTATTTATATCATATTGTTACAATTTTTATAATTTAAGTTTTCATTTATTTGTATATAAATCGATAGTTATGTTAA